CCCTGGAGGAGCAGTTCACCCAAGCACAGAATGGACTTGTGCAGCTTTTTCCCCCTCACCAGGAAAAGCCACACACTGCTGCTCAGCCAGATCCACACTCCCTTGATGCTGTCCAGATGTGATGAGAGCCTGTGCCAGCTCAGCTTATAGAAACACTTGATATAGTTATTGTGGGTGGGAACATGGCAAACAGGTGGTGCAGGCAGTGATTTATGAGTCATTATTATTAATGTTTGTAATCCACCAAAGTCAACAAGGGGCCTTCGGTGGGGCTTGGCAGTGACAGAGGAGCATCCAGCAAAACCAACCTCACCCTGACCCCCACCCCAGTCCTTCCTCTCCATTCATCTCCACCACTTGCAAACATGGAAACAAATTCAATGCTGACAGTCAATGAGGAGCTTTGCAAAAGCAGCAGCCTGGCAAGGATGAGTTGCCCCATCCGCACCGTGGACCTTTTTTCCCCACCTTTTTTCCCCACTCATGCCCTGGGGGTTGTTCTGCCCCATCTGGCTCTGCCAGCCCTGCCCAGCTCAGGGCACACCCAGCACTGAGTCACCCACAGCCCCGTGTCATTCCCAGCACCCGGTGCCTCATGGCAGCACTCGGGGCCAACAGCAGCCTCATCAGTACCCAAAATCCCCAGCAAGAAGATTAAGCAGTGGGCGATTAGGACTGGATACAGATGAGCTGAGACTGAGAGCATCACTGTGACCAGAGGGACCCTGTGCAGGGAAATAATCCCCAAATACACAGCATCACATCCCACCCAGGTCCCCCCCCTCAGGTGCAGCTGCCTGCTAGGTGTTAGCTATTAACTCGTCTCCATGCTCTAACTCATTAATTAATAACTCTGGTGTCATGGGCCATTTATTATGTGAAAATATTAATAACTGCTAAAGGTCTCGAGGGCATCCAGCCGTGCAGCACACACCTTGCAGCGCGGGCACCTTGCAAACATCAGCAGGCTGCTCCAGGTCCCTTTCCTGCCATTTACAGCCTTCAGGAGGTTAATTTAAGAGGTAATAAACACAGCAATAAAAATAACCATAAGCTCCAGCTCTGCCCTAGCGTGGGCTGCCAGAGCCCTGCGGGTGTGAAGCGCAGACCTGCTGGGTCCTGCTTGCTCTGCTGCACGGGGTCAGTGCTGTCAGAGCAGGTGAGCCCCATGCAGGCGCTGCACAGCCCACAGCAGAGATGTGCAGGACCTGTGCCGACAGCCCAGTGCTTGAAAAAGTCTTAGGCGGTTCCTGAGCTCCAAACCCCATCTCTGACACAAGTGACTTTCCCAGCACATGCTGGCCCCATAAGAGCAAAACCCATTGCAGCCCCACGCACCCCTCTTTCAGTCTAAAGGTGGATTCTGGCAGCGACTCCAAATACCACATTTCCTTCCACAGGCTCAACAGCTGGCAGGCCTTCAAATCACCCTCCTAATCGCACGTAAATCCCGAGCAGCTCCCCCCAGGATTAGAGATATGGAAATCCCATGAAAGCTGAAGGTACCCACGATGGCACTCAGCACCCACAGCTCCCACTGCCACCCCCGAGGGGACCCCCCTCTGCACTCCCCAATGCGGGGATCATTCTGCATCACCCAGGGCTGGATCTGCCAGACTCACCTCCCTCCTAAAACATGGAGAAATTATGACAGCTCTAGGTAATGGAGAAGACTGAATCCTCATGGCCAAATTTTAAATTTGGAGGTTAGTTTTGATATGAAATTTGGACAGAGAAACAGGAGAGGTGGGACTCACTCCAGGGTCAAGCACGGATCCCCTCCTCAGCTGAAACATCCCCAAAATCCCTGCAGCCCAGAAACCCAGAACAGGAGGCAATGTGGTCAGTGGGACAAGGCATGTGGGTGCAGGACCCACAGACATGGAGGCAGCAGCTCCCAGCAATGTGCCCTCTCAGCCCTGCACCGTGACACTGGAGAGGCCAGGGACATTTTCCACATTGCTGAAGAGTGACAAACCTGATCGCTGACCTCCCCCAGCTGGCAGGAGCATGGCTGCAGCAGCACGGGAAGAGCAGAGATCCTGCAAACGGATCTCCATGTGCTGTGGGGACACCACATTCACCCACTCCCCAGCCAGGAAGGCACTCCCCAGAAACACTCTCCAAAAAATCACGCTACCTCCTGCCACCCTACAGCCCTGCTGTGGGAAGCAGAGGTACCAGAAGGTCCGGTGTCTGCTGACAGGACGGACATATAGGCAGGACAGACAGACCCAGCACATGCAAGGGCACAGATGGACCACAGCCAGCTCCATTTCCCACGTGCATGGGGAGGCTGCAAGCCCCCTGCTTGGGATCAGATTAAAGCTCATGGCAATGGCTGAGATGTTTCTGAGTTTTCCAAACACATTATTTATAATGCAGAAAAGTGCTCTGCAGCCGTTCATCACGAGGTGGGACAGCTGCCTGGCTGCAGGCACGGGCTGAGGGTGTGGGGCTGGGTGGGCACTGCAGGCATCACCCTGCATGGATGGGTGGCACAGCCTGAGCACTGGGCACCCACATCTCAGCTCTGCCACTGATTCACCACACCAGCAAACTTCTGCACTGTGCTGTGCCTCAGTTTCCCCATCCGTACAGCTGAGAGTGCCACAAGGAGAGGAAGAGGAGGAGCTTGGGCAAACATCTGCAGGAGGCAAAAAGCATGGCACGAAAGACAGACCGTTGTATCCTGCTGCCAGTCTCCCAGTTGCAGGTTGAAGGCAGCAGCACTGCCGTTCCCCAGTGGGTACAGGACCAGGGGGTTCCCCAGCATGATGCCCACACTTGGGGTCTGCAGAGCCCAGCCTTCCTCATCGAGGGTCACACATGGAGACCCAATATGACCAGCACCACGTGCCCCCATGCTTCCCATCTCACTGACCTCACACTGGGTGCTCACAGGCAGTAAGGCCAGAACCATCTGCAGCCCCTGGCCGGGCTGCCAGCACTGTGCAGCTATTCTGAGACACGGATGAGCTCCCATTTTTAAACGCAGCAGAGCTCAGCCCTGGTTAGATAACACAGGCTCTGCTCTAATCTCTCAGAGCTCAGTGGGGTGACTGTGCCCCCATGGAATTCCCAAACCCATGCAGGGGCCATGACTCCGGGATGTTTCTAGCTCTGCCATGGCCACGTTGTGCTCCCGGCTGATGGCTCAGCGCTGGGCACCAGCAGCTCACGGGGCACGAGTAGCTCAGCAAGGACATCTCAGCCCGGGAGGGACCTGGGGATATCTCTGGTTCTGGAGAGACCCCGGTGGTGTCACGGAGGACGGAGGGGTACCCAGAGCTGCCCCAAGGACCTGAAAGGAGACGCTGGGTCAAACGAAAACTGCGGAGACTCAGACAGACCCAGGGCACCTGGAGGAATCACACACCTAGAGGGAACCACGGGAAACCCGGAGACAAAGCACTCAGGGGATGCTGGAGGAGACCCAAAAGGAATGCAGAGGACCGGGAGGAGATGCGCGCCCGAGGGAGAAGGAGATGAGGAGCGCAGGGGGGAGCAGAGCACCCGGAGATGGAGCAGCCGGGACGCAGCGCCGTCGCATCTCTCACCGATTTAGGTTTCTTCTTGGGCGTGAGGTTATCGTAGAACGCCTTCGCCTCATCCCAGGGCCGCCCCGCCGCTCCCGGTGCCCCGGCGGTGCCCGGCGGCTCCATGGCACAGCGCTCCGTGCGCACCGGGAGCTCCCGGCGGCGGAACGCCTTTATACGGCATCCCATGAAGCTCCGGGGTTTCATCCCACCGGGCCGAGGCTTAACCTCTTCGGGACCGAGCCCGTCCCGCCCCGCCGCCCCCAGCCCCACATTAACAGCTGCAAGGGAACGGAGCGCTCCAGGGCTGACACAGTCCCAGGGCAGCCGAACTCGGGGTTGGGGGAGAAATGCTGCTGCACAGAGGTGTCCCGCAGCCGAGGATCCCTCCGCGCCGTGCGCAGATCCGAGTGGTCGCGGTGTTGCGGGACTGGAATGGCAGAGGGACTGCGGGGAGACCACCGCCCCCGCGCGGAGCACAGACCTCTCCCTGCCCAGGAGAGCGGCTCAGGTGCCCCCTCCCCTGCATGGCAGTTCAGCCCGAGATGCCCAAGTCTCAGCCAGCTGCTCGCACCCCAAGCCCTTCGGGACGCCCTTCTGGGAGCTGAACGCCACTCCAGCCCCATCGCAGCCTCCTTTTCCCCAGGGCCTTCGCAGCATTCTGCAGCAAATCCCTGAGCTTCCTTCGGGGAGGCCCCGAGGAGAGCAAGAATTTCCCATTCTCGGGATCACCCTCTCATCATCCTGAGCCACTGCTCTTTTCACGGCAGCCCTGGCACAGACCCATCTGTTCCCATAGCGCATGTGACCTGCACTGTCCCTCCCTCCCCTGCACCGCTGAGCTGCACACTCCTCCGGGATGGGCACAGAGCTGCCCCTCAGCAGCGCTCCCGGGAACACAAGTGCTGCTTTGGCACCGTCCCATCCTCCTTCTCAGGACTGGGAGATGTGGGAGCACTGTGGGGAGAACCACGTTCCTGCCCACAAGCTGAGCCAGAGCTGCTGCTAAATCCGGAGAAGCATTTAAAGTTGGTGAGAGCTCCTTAGCAACAGGCACTGTCTGTGCAAGCTGGCAATGGGGAAGAACAAAACGTGCAGAGAAGCTGGGGGTGGAGGGCTGATGTGCAGCAACAGCACGTCCCAGTGGCTGGCAGTGCTGCAGTGGGCCCAGGATGCAGCCCCCATCCCAGGGAGCAGCCGCAGTCCCACTCCTGGGGGACACATGAAACCTCAGCAAGAGATGCCCAGTCCTATCCTCTCCCCTCCCCTCCTTTCTCCCCACACACACCCAAGATGACATTATTCCTTCTCAAAGCTTTGTGCACAGCTGGAGGGTTACACTTACACTACCTCCTGTGCCAGGACTGCTCCCTCCCCAGCGTGTCACAGGCTCAGGGGAGCCCCAAAGTGATGCTTGGAGCATGTTCTCCCCTTGCTCCCCTGCCGAGCCATTCAGGGGGAATGCCACCAATGGGGGACAGTTTATTTTTCCATGAAAAAAAAAAAAAAAAAGGAAAAAAAGTAGGTAACTCCACAGCCTCCTAACAGATATCACAGTCATTGTCACCACAATGTGCAGAATAAATACCACTGTGACAATATTGCTGTTCTGAGACAGGAGGGACAGAGGCAGGGGGCTGGGACAGTAGGCACTGCAGCAATCAGGAGGGCCAGAAACACTCTGGGAATCCTCAGTAGTGCCAGAGCAGTTCTGGAAGTCACCCACCAGAGAAGATGGTGTGGTTTCTGGGATCAGATATGTACCGTGGCCGAGGGTGGCCTTGGACACTTCCTGAAGTCCCCTGCCCAACCCTTGACTATTCCCACCACCAAAAGCAGAAGCAGAAAATCTACAGCTGGGTAAGGGAGGGGGGAGAGCAGGACACAACCTAGAACCAGTCCTGAGCCCCAACAGCCCCGTGAGGTGCTGCCAGCAGAGCAGGCACCAGGGCCAGGACCCTGAGCCCTTCGGCAGCAGGGTCAGTGGGAAGGAGAAGAGCTGGGACCGGGATCCCCATGGAGACGGTGGGCAACAGGGTGTGAGGTCAGCTGGCCCTGCTGTGTCGGGATGCTCCCCCAGTTCAGAGGTTTAGCTGCAAGGTCTGGTTTAGGGGACCTCGAGCCGGCAGTGCCCAGGAGCAGAGCAGAGGGGTGGCAGCAGGAACCAAGCACGGGGCCAAGCAGGCATGGGGCACTCAGAAGGGCATGGGGACAGAAACCATCATGAGGAGCTGAGGTTGGCTGCAGCTAGTCCAGCCATGAGCCCCGGCCCTATTTCTGCACATCACCCTGCAGCAGGAGGACGATGGAGGGATCGCTCTTGGCTGCCTCCTTGAACTCCTCTAGGGAGATCTGGTCATCCTTGTCCTTGTCCATCTTTGTGAAGATCTTGTCGACGCGCTGCTGGGGCGTCAGCCCGTCTTGGTTCATCCGCATCATGATCACAGTCCCCACCATCTTGTAGATGGCCTGGAGCAGGGAGAGGAGCGGGGTGGAAGCTGGATGGGCAAGAGGTGCTGGGACAAGGCAGGGCTGCTGCCCCGCACAGCCACCTTTCAGCCAAAGTTCCAGACACTAAAACCTGTTCTTTGGTGGCCAAATGGGCCCCAACCTGTGAAAAGACCACAGAAAATGCAAGATACCCTGCTTATTGGAGCAGCAGTACCTCAATTATCTCCAGCATCTCCAAGCGTGTGATCTTCCCGTCCCCATCCAGGTCATACATCTCAAAGGCCCAGTTGAGTTTTTGCTCAAAGGTCCCCCTAGAGGTGACAGACAGGGCACAGATGAACTCTCGGAAGTCAATGGTGCCGTCGCTGTTCTTGTCGAAGGTGCGAAAGGCGTGCTGGGCAAACTTGGAGGCGTCACCATAGGGAAAAAACTGTGGGCAGAGGAGAAGAGAGAGATTGGAACAGGGATGGGAGCTCACAGGGAGCAGAGCTCGGCACAGCAGGAGTGGGGTGCTCCTACCCCACGGGTTGTGCCCAATCAGAGCCCACCTTCATGTAGAGCTGCTGGAACTCCTCCAGATTGAGGATTCCGGTGGGGCAGTCCTTGAGGAAGCCCTTGTACCACTGCTTCAGCTCCTGTTCGCTGAACTCCGTGCTCCTCACCAGGTCGTCCAGCATCTCCGGGGCCAGCTTGCTGCTGTGCTTGCCCATGGCTTTGCCTGGGATGGGAAACATGGGTCTCTACGTGCCGGCTACAGTGTGGCCGTACTCCCCAGCACCCCATCATCCCCACATCCCTCCCACAGCGGAACTGACCCTCCCATCTGGTGGCACTCACACACTGCCAAATGCGACCGCAGTGACTGCAGTTCTGTGCCACCAGCATCAAAACGAGGAAAAGTCCCACCTGCATCGCCCACCCTGCAGCACCCACCTGGCCGTACAGCACTCACAGTGCTGCATTGCGTGGGCAGCACACACAGCAGCTCCAACGATACGCACTGTGCCCACGGTGGCCCCAATGATACACACTATGCCCGCTCCCACACAGCCCTGGCTGCCGCTGCTCAGTCCGAGCAGCAGAGGGTTCGATGAGTGCTCCCGGAGCTTCTCTCCATGGATAAATTTGAGGACAAAAAGTTCACGGGGGCATTTTGGGATGACAGGGTTTGGGGCAGCTCGGAGGCTCCATCCCCGACACCCGCAGCAACGCGGCCCCGACGGCACCGGCTCCGACGGCCGCCCCGCCCCGGCCAGCGGCTCTCAGCCCCGACGGCCCCACCCGTCCGCTCGTTACCTGTCCGAGCGAAGCCGGTACCGCTGGCGGAGGGGCAGCGCTGCAGCCCCCGGCTCTGCCCGCGCCGCTCCCGCCCCTCTCGCAGCCTCGAGCACCCGCCCTCCCCACCCCCCCGGCAACGCCCGTCCATTGGCTTGGAGCGCTGTCAATCGGTGGTGGGTGGGGGGCGCGAAATGCGATGCTGGGGGGCGTCCTGGGGGGGCTGGAAAAGGAAATGGGCACCCGGGGGCGGCAGCACCGATGTCCGGGGGCGTCCCAGCCTGGAGCAGAGCCCCCGCACCTTCCTCTCCGCTGCCGCCCGGGAGAGATGCTCATTCCCAGCGCCGAAAGCGGAGCGTTTCCATAGCGATGGCTCTGCCTCTCCCCGCTGACCCCGCTCCCCCAACCCGCCCCCCCGCGGCGCGGTCTGGGCAGCGTGGCAGTGCCTGCAGCCACCAGAGCTGAGCCCGGAGCCGCGGGGCTACCCGAAGTCCCTGCGCGAATCTCACCCCCGCCGACGGGGCCAGAGGAACGGTTTATATGCAGACACAAATATTTGCAGCTGCGTATACACAGTGTGGCTTCAGGGATGCATCACTCCGGGGACGGGAGGACCGGATCCCCTCGGACCCCCCTGGGCCGAATGCACCGTCCCTGCGTCGCGCCGTGCCCGTGTGCGGGGCGGAATCCCCACCCGAGGCTGCACAGAGCGTCGGGGAACAGCGGGGAGGGGGCACGTCGGGGGACACGGCCAAGGACGGCGCAGTGCCCCCTCCCCGCTGCTCCCGACCCCTCCCCGTCCCACACCTCCGCGGAATGCAGAGGGCAGCAGCTTCCCCCAGCGATGCAGGCGGGGCCGTGCCCACGGCGGAGCCGCCATAGGGTGTCACCCCACGGAACGCTCCGTTTTCCGGTGCTCGGAGCCCTCCACCCGCGGCGGCTGCAGGGATGGGGTGACAGTGGCATCGAGTGGGTCCCTCTCGCTGCACCCTCCCCACCCTCCAGGCCCCCGGGACGCCCTGAGATAAGGACAGGAATGTGGAGGACCATCGCCCCGGGCCCGCAGCACCCGATCTCCGGGGTGCGAGGCGTCCCCGCGTCCTACAGCGCGCAGAGACCGCGGGCCGCGGATGCTGCCAGCCGGCACGCAGCGGGTTAAGCGTCCCCGGCTCCCTCGCACTTGAGACGTCACCGTCCCCGGTGGCGTGGGGGGGCCGGGGGCCATGGGGGGCTTTGTGGTGCAGTCGGCAGCCGGCGCAGGGCTCGCACGCAGCGGCGGGCGGCTCTTCACCCCGCACCTGCGTTGTGGGAGCGACCGCACGCACCGGGCGCTGCCGCCGCCGCCCGCCCGCGCCGCCACGGTGAGAACGGGGCCGGGTCGGGGCGGGGGGCGACCCGGGAGGTGGTGACGGTGGCGGGAGGGTGCAGCCCCCGGGATGCTGCAGCCCGGGGGGGGCTCTGCGGCTTCGCACCCCAGAGCCATGCGGTAAATCGGCCGCGTCCGCAGCGGGGCCGGGGGGGAGGGTGGGGGCACTGCTGGGCGGTTCGGCTCCGAAAGGGGGGGAGGGGTGCAGCGCCGGGGGTCGCCCAGGGGCAGGATCCAGCCCTGGTGCCGCGGTGCCCCTGCTGGGAGGGATGCTCGTGGAGATGGTGCGGTGCATTGGAAATAATCCTGGGGACACCGCGGGCGTGGCTGGGGGGGGGGGACCCTGCCGTCCCCAGCGCCGCATCGGCTGCACACAGCCCTCAGTGCACAGACTGTCCTTTGTGGGGGGAGTGCCTGGTCCCTGCATAGTGACGGGCAGAGGGGAGGCAGGGAGCAAATCTCCCTCCTGAGAGCCCCTCCACAGTGGAATGTGCTGCCCACCATTTCTCCCACCTCACATCATGGGCAAATATGGGGGGAGTAGGAATGGTGCAAATGGAACACTGAACCTCAGACCCCACAGGGGACCATAGGGACACGGAGGGGCCCAGCCTGGCGCTGCCACACATCTCCATTCCCCAGCACAAGGCAGAGTGGCTGCAGCCATCCCTGTCCCCCCCCCAGCACTGAGCCCCACACCAGGGCCAGGCCTCGCACCCATGTCACAACAGGGACCCATCCATACCCCTCCCTGTGTGTCCAGCACCCCAAATCCCAGCTCTGAGAGCTGTGCTCTGCCCTTCAAGGACAAGCTCTGCGCCGTGAGGATGTGATACCATAATTTATGCAAATAGAGCAGGTGAGGTCTCCCTGCAGGCTGACTGCCCCCAGCACCACCCTGCAGGGCACAGCACCCCAAAAATTCCCTGACATCCATGGGGCGGACTAGGTAACCCTGTGTGCCCCACAATGGGGTGCAGGCAGCAAAGAGCAAAGACAGGCAGCAACATGGGGACAGCCACCCCTGGGCTCCTTTGGGGTGGTTGTGGTGGATGTGGGGATGGTTCAGCACTACATGCCCCCGTGTCCTCACCCGGGAGGTCTCCACGGGGGACGTGGTGCACAGGGGATGCTTGGCCAACACCGGTGTGGAGCGCATCGACTGCATCTCAAGGAAGCGCTGGATGGCTTCCAAAGCACTGGCTGCTGGCAGTGAGAGCAAGCAGAGGCAAATAAGGTGAAGGCTGGAGGGTGTGTGGATCTGCCCCGAAGGGCCATGAGCTGCCCAGGGGCCCTGATCCCACACTCCCCCACAGGTCCCCCCCAGCCCATGCAGTGATCAGGGCGTGTGGCACAGCACCTGCTCTCATCTTAGCTGCACTGCACACTGAGGTAAGGAACCAGGGCTGCAGCCATGGTGTGGGTGATGGGCCCCTAAATTGAGTCTGTGGGGCAGAAATCCCGGTGTGGGATCCTCCCCACCCAGCCCTGCCCTTTAGGGCTGCCCATAGCGGATTGCGTAGGGAGGACACCTTGTCCTGAGGGCTGTTCTGGGGCAGTGAGCAGCACCCACAGGAAGCGCAGCGCTTCTCTCCCCGCCTTGAGAAACTGAAAACACAGAGAGCAGCCTCACATCCACTCACAGCCTTGTGCTCACAGCTGGGAGGGCAGCGGGGCCGGGGGCAGAGGGGTGAAGGTAGGTGCTGCCATGGTGGGGGGTGAGGGGGGGCTCAGGGTGCGCGGTGGCAGCGCGGTGCTGTTCCACTCTGTGCTGTTTCTCTCGCTCAGGTCTGCTGGCCATGGGCAACCTGATAAAGGTATTGGGCAAAGATTTAGAAAACTGTCCTCATTTTTTCCTGGATTTTGAAAGTAAGTCCCATGAGCAGGGTGAAGTGGGGAGGGGTCTAGGGCTGCTGTGGTGGCTGCTCCCCAGAAGATGGGACAGGCGCAGAGTCCTCAAGCAGCATCGTGTCCTTGAGGCTGTCCTGGATGCACCCTACAAAGGCTGCAGGGGGCTGGGGAGCGAGGCTAAACCCGAGGAGATGTCCCACACTTGCCCCAAGGGTCCTGCATGGGGACACATCCCAGCCAAGTGAGGTGGACATGGGACATGTGCCAGCAGCAGGACCTGGCACAAGGCACGTGCCCGTTGCTATTAGTCAACAGCTCTTGGAGGCCATGCAGCACATCCTCACTATCACCATGGCTGGACAGCCTAAAGGCTGGGGATGCTGGGAGCGAGGTGGGAGGACCTGTGCCACATGGGTTGAGCTCAAGCACCCTGATGCCCGCAGGTTCCTGGTACCATGCCTGTGGATGCAGCTGAGGGGTACTCCAGGCTGTGTACAGGGATGCGATGGGAGATGTGGCTGTGGTGGGAGGCTCAGTCTGGTGCAGCCTCCAGCCCCTTCCTGCCTCCCCCCTCCTTCCTCCCAGAGCACAGTGCAGAACAAGAGCGAGGGATGTAAATATAGTGCAGCAGCAACCGCGGGGCCCGGCCCCAGCCACAGTGGGAAGAGGCTGCACGCAGCTCTCTGCATCACCCCCAGCACCAAACATCCCAAAATAGGCAGCGGGGCCAGGGCTGGGACCGCACAACCACCCGAGCAGGAGGGCCCTTTGGGTGCACACAGCCCTCTCCATCCCTCTGCATGGGGCTGCAGCTGCTCCCCAGGACCCCCATTCTGGGACTCACTCACCGCATCGCCCTCCTCACTGGAGCCCAGCGGCTCTCCTTGCTCCGCTCTGCTCCTTCCGCTCCATCATTCATCACAGCGCCCATCTCCATCCTCGGGGGGAAGAGGGCCGGGAGGACGGGCTCTGCCCCGCTGCCCGCAGCACCTCTTCCCCAATCCCACCTCGCCGTCATGCTTTTTTCCTCTTGTTTCTTCTCTTGCAGGTTTCACATGGGGAACCTTCTTAAAGTGTTGACTTATAACGAACTTGAACAAGGCCCTAATTTTTTCCTTGACTTTGAAAGTGAGATGGGATTTTTATTTTCCTTTTTTTGTTTCTTACCTTATGAGTTCCACATCCACACCATTTGAGTTCCCATGCCCGCCGTCCATCGCACCGCCCCCATCCCAGACGCCCACCCCATTGCCGCCCCAGGGATCTCCCCGGGGAGGGGGCAGCCCCATGGCTGGTTGCTCCCACTCCACCCCTCAGGGTCAGCCCCTTGGGGTCAGCGTGGGGCTGGGGCTGCTCTGGGGCAGCGGGACGGGAACATCACCGGCCACGGCCGCCTCCATGCCACTCAGAGCCCTCCGGGTTTCTCTCCCCGGGGCGCTGCCCTGCAGATGCGCAGCCAACAGAGGCTGAGACTGCGGTGTGGAACCAGGTGAATGCCGTGCTGGAGGAGTCGCAGGGCGTGCTGGCTGAGCTGCAGTCCTACACGGGTGCCGGGCAGGAGATTCGAGAGGTGGGTGCAGCCCCTGCCCCGCTGTTCTCCCCATAGCTCGGGGTCACCCCGCTACTCTCCCCACAGGCCATCCAGAACCCTGGGGACCTGCAGCTGCAGGAGAGGGCATGGAGTGCCGTGTGCCCCCTTGTTGCCAAGCTGAAGCGCTTCTATGAGTTCTCTCTGCGACTCGGTGAGCCCTCCCCTATACCCTCATTGCACTGCCATTGTAACCCCACTGCGCTGCCCCATGCCTCATTTTCTCCATCGGGCACTGAGGTGGTGACAGCAACGCTCTGTCTACAGAGAATGCTCTGCGCAGCCTTCTGGAGGCCCTCACCTGCCCGCCGTACCCCCCTACGCAGCACTTGGAGCGGGAGCAGGCCTTGGCCAAGCAGTTTGCTGAGATTCTGCACTTCACCCTCAGCTTTGATGAGCTCAAGGTGCCCCCCATGGGCTGCAGGTCCCACAGTCCCCATGCCCGGCCCCACATCAGCCCCAATGCTGATTTTTTGCATGGTGCTGAAGCTGGGCAATGGAGCATTGCCCTCCCAGTTGTGGGGTTCACCCTGGGCACACTGAGCAGCCCTAATCCCATCCCCTAATGCTGTACTCCCCCTAGATGACCAACCCCGCCATCCAGAATGACTTCAGCTACTACAGACGGACCATCAGCCGAAACCGCATCAACAACCTCCAGGTGAGAGGGGCCCCCAGGACCACCTCCCTGAGGAACAGCGGTGCTGCCACCAACCCCATGCCCTCCCCACCCCACAGCTGGATGCGGAGAGTGAGGTGAACAATGAGATGGCCAACAGGATGTCCCTCTTCTACGCTGAGGCCACCCCTATGCTCAAAACACTCAGCAATGCCACCACCAAATTTGTCTCAGAGGTGAGTGGGGCTGGGGGACCTGGAGGGGCTGAAGAAGTCCCTCTAGCTCCAGGTAGGGCTGGGATGGGGGACCCTGTGGGGAGCAACCCCTGGGATCCCTTTGCTTTCAGAACAAGACGCTCCCAATTGAGGACACGACCGACTGCCTGAGCACCATGGCCTGCGTCTGCAGGGTGATGCTGGAGACCCCGTGAGTATCCACCCTGCGGGCAGTGGGGTTTGGGGTGCTTCTGCTTCCTTCCCAGCTCAGACCCTCTCTTTGCAGGGAGTACCGCAGCCGTTTCACCAACACCGAGACACTGCTGTTCTGCATGCGGGTGATGGTTGGGGTCATCATCCTCTATGACCATGTCCACCCCGTGGGGGCCTTTGCCAAGACCTCCAAGATTGATGTGAGTGGTCCTGGGGAGGGGGTCACAGCCACACTGTGTGTCCTAAAGCAACAATGATGCCTATAGGGCACATCCCATGGGGACACCTCTGTGTGAGCTGAGCCAGAGGGGAATTTGATCCCTGGGTGGTAGGAGGGGGGGAAATCTTTAGTCCATTTGGGCACTCACCACCTCTTCTGTTTCCTATGCAGATGAAGGGGTGCATCAAAGTCCTCAAGGACCAACCGTCCACCAGCACCGAGGGGCTCCTGAATGCACTGAGGTGAGCAAGAAGAGGGGGGAGCAGGGGGACCCATCTGCTCCAGGATGGGATCAGCACTGCTCTCAACAGCCCTCCAGGGCTGCATGGTGACGGTCCCCACTTTCCAGGTACACCACCCGGCACCTGAATGATGACACCACATCCAAACAGATCCGGGCGCTGCTGCAGTGAGCGCAGCTCCGCATCCCAGTGCACATCACTGTGTCACCCACACCATGCCCATACCACTCATTTTGTACAGAGGGAAAAGGGACAACAGAAATTACCCAGAAATAAATCAAAACGGCCCCAAAAAGCCACCCTGCCATGCTCCTGTCCACCCTGCCCCTCCCAGAACAACACCTGGATGCGCTCCCACCGCCCTGAGAGCAGTGCCCGGGGACGTGGGGTGCAGGTGGCACTGCGGGGACACGGGGCTGAGCAGGATGGGGCTGGGGGTACGGGGGTGGCACAGGCAGTGCCCCCGGCCCCACACGTGCAGGGGAGAGGAAGAGGAAGGAGCATCGCTGTGCTGACTGCAGGAATCGGCTCTGCTCCACCCCGTGGATTTTTAATACATGTGATTAAATCGCCGCTCACCTCTTCTTCTGTACCTTTTTTTTTTTTTTTTTTTT